AACTTTGTTTAATATGGTCTACGTTTCCAAATTCTTCGCAAACCGGCTGTATTTTGTAGATCTTGATGTGGCAGTGCTAATAATTGGTTGGAGCGAAGTATTCCGAAAGAGCGGGGTATTGCCGTCCTTGTTGTTTTATACCCGAACCACCAGTAGCTGACCATCCGGTAATCCAGTACCGGTCTGAGCATCTGGAAAAGCTGCCAGCTGCATAGTTGGAGAACCGGACTATGAATTAACAGTAATTCTCCCGGTTCAGGTAGAATGTTAGCAGGCCGTGAAATCTGCATTTTTATCTAACTTTTACAACTCCATCTCAAACAAAATAAGCGAGCTTGAATCCTTGACAAAGCTTTCATACATACAACCACTGTAGACTTTATGGGCGATGTTATGCGGTTCTCCTGCAGTTTTGCCAATGCGTTTCACCAAAAGTGAGGCTTTTTTCTTGAATTAAGGAGGAATGCGGCGGAAATATAAAGCGAAAGAAGGAAGGAGGGAGAGGGAAGGGGCTACTGTTCAAGGTGTTGCACTGAGGTAAGAATACAACAAGTCAAAGTACGCTTAGAAATCTGCCGATGATGATCGACTTTTGCCGATGATGATCGAATTTGTATTTAATGCATTTTTTGACTTGGCTAGTGGCTTAGTTATCACTGTTATCCCGCGTGCATATACCAATTGATAAAACTGATTCATCGAAAAAGTCCGGTTAGATCTATCTTTTCTTCCTCTTATGCTTTGTGATTTATCTGAACCAAGTTTGAAGGGATTAGAGTTTTTTGCATAGCTTGATAAATTGGCCTTTCTGTACTTTTTTTTCAGTCCTCAAAATGTCCATAATATCCCGGAAACATGGCTTTCTAATTTCAAAGCAACTGCTGTCGAAAGATTTTTTTTTTCTGCAAATCTCTTGGAAAAATTTTTCCGTTCTTTCAAATTTCTATAAATTTCTTTACCAGACAATTTTGAGCTTCCATATACGAAAACAATTAGTTTCGTTCTCATTTTTGTGCTCTTTTGCATCTTTGATGGATGCAAAAACTCTTACTGTTTCGGAAACTGTTTTCATAGTGACCTGACAATTATGACGACGGAGACATTTGAAAGTGCGTGAAAATAGTTTACACGATTCGCGGGCGTTTTTTTTTGTTGTTGGAATTCTGTTAAAATCGGGATTTCGCCGATTTCATTGCTCTTACTAACCGTAACTGAAATTTTGTTTTTTCGTGGCAAATTTAATTAATACAGCTTATCCTTATGTTTCGTTGGGACAAAAATTAAGCGAATCCTGGATGAATGTGTTTGAATTTTCGTTTCATACGCGAAATATCATAAATACCGGATTCCTCTACCACAAAAATAAACAAAATTTTACGTTCTTACTCCGTTTTAACTCTATTTTGATCCTTTATTGCACTGATCTCGATTCGAACCAGTGTAAACACTAAGGGGACTAACAAAGATCCAGAAGTGTTCCTTCTTACCCGTAAAAACAACTAAGATTTTGGGTAGATGCTGCGACCACAAGCGCAAGTTTTGGAGCGGAAAATGGGAAATGATATCCGAACTGTCTAACATCAGACGGAAGGAACCTTTTATGGGAAATACTTAAATTCGAAATTGGTTAAAATTGAAGATTTACTAAATACTTCGAAATCTCATTTTCTACCAAAAATACCGAGCCTCCCGAACAACCGCAGTAAGTGTCCCATGTTAGTGATGTTTATCCCGTGTTAGTGATTTTAACTGAATACTTCCTCCGCACGCCCGGTATCGCCGTCTTATTTGATAAGAACAATATAAAACTTCTCAGATCGTAATAAAATTAAATAAGAAAACGCCTTCACTCGCTTTTCTTCCTTCGCAACTCGTAAGAAAAGTGCCATATACATTGGGCTAATTGTGTCTCTACATTTTTTTTCTCTCGTTTTTTTTAAAGTTTATTATTGGTAAATTAAGTATTCTTTCACGATCTTGCCATAATTTAACTGTGTTTTCCTTCGTTTTTCTCCTGTGCACTGTATTTGTCGGCTCTGTGATGATCTCAATTTGCATTAACTTACAAGAGAGTGTTTGAATAGTTTTGAGTTGTCGTAAGTAGTTTAGTACTGAACGGTGCTAAATGGTACTCATTTTTGTGTTTTTTTTTTCTGCAGTTTTCTTCGAGTAAAGAATTTTGTCCATTAAAAAAAGTGAAACTGCAGAAACCAAATCAGAATTCCAGGAATGTCGAAATAGAGATGGGCAAACTTTGATATTACAAACACACACCACAGGTGCGACTAGGTCAAATAAAAATTGAATTAAGGTGGCGATAAAATATTAGTTTTTAATAATTAGTATCCTAAATTATCAGTGGATAAAATGGAAGAAGTTCAGAGAGTATATAAGTAATGTTGAAAAGATAAAAGTAAATCTGAACAAAAATTTCCCGGTTCGTTATGTCTCATACATCCCTTTTCATTGCCACAACTGGGCCTCATCAGAAGATACGCAGACAAATGTGAAATATGACAACCGCTTAGAGCAATAATTTAAGAGGATTTAGTTTCAAAAGGATTTAAGTATAGGAAACTCATTCATATTATTCGTTTATATAGAAAAATGATTTGGCTAAAGACGAAAAGAGGATGAAAAATCTCAGAAGTTTGTTTTTCATTTCACTAAGTCACATACAAAAATCTCAAAAGTATGTTTTTCATTCCACTATGTCACATACTGCGGCGCCCCAATCCCATTGAGTACCGCAACTGGACTACGTCTGTAGGACGACTTTGTCAATAACAAGCATACTTAACAGAAAATAACAAAAATGAATAAGAAGGGGAAAAATACAAGTTATGTTACTCGAATATTAGTTTTCCCTGAAGTGGTATTTCTAGTAAGTGTTTTGGAAATTTTTTGAAAAATGTAAACTGTGAAAGTTTGTTTGGCACTGTAGACCAGCCGATGAATCGAATATTGTCAGTTGTGGGAAAGCAGTGAGTGCTAATTAAGATACCCAGATAAGCGAGCCTGTATGTGCATTAGCTATTCTATTTGTGTTTCATACCTAAACCGTAAACACAGATAGCAAAGTCTGTGCGGAATGGAACGTTGATGATGTGACTTTTTATGCATTTTGTGCTTTGTAACAGCAGTACAAAACGCATATTGTCACGGGGTTGTCTGTTTTTGTGTGTGCGTGTGTGTCCGCAGCAACTTGTCCGCAACATTCAACTCGGGAACCACAAAAGCTAGAAATTTGAAAATTTAGGATAACGTTCCCCACCCACGCGTGACCCGGAAAATTTAAGTTCAGTTTCCCCGTACCTGCGGGTAACGCGTGCGAAATTAATAGCTCGGGAACCACGGAGTCTAGGGGGCTGAATTTTTAGGGTAATGACCCCCTGTCCACGCTCAACCTTGCCCATTCAAATTCAGCGTTTCCACGCGTCTCTCGGGTACCACCTACGTGCTAGTGAAAGTTTTTACGGGTAAATTATTATTTCGAGAACCACGGGGCCCAGGAAGCTGAAATTTTAGGGTAATGACTCCCTGCCCATGCTCAACCTTGCCCATTCAAATTCAACGTTACCGTGCTCTTGAGTATCACCTACGGACTCGTGAAAATTTGGCAGATAAACTACTAACTCGGGATAACGATATATACCGTTCAGGGTTTCGAATTCAGCTTTCATGCGCTGGTGCGTGAAACTTTTAACTGTTTCCCAATGTTTGAACTATTTCTGCACAGACAAAAATACAAAGCAATGAAAATCATTAATAGGCAGCGTTCGATGGGCTGAATTGCACAAAACGCATGATCGCACCGGCTAGTCTGGTGCGCGCTGCTATTTATTACGGTTGGAGCGTTGATGACACGATCAGTTTTGATGTGACTAATGACTAAATTTACTATTGCTCGATCTTTTTATGTATCATTAAAAATCTGCACTTTATGTACGTATTTTTAAGACATAAATTTTCCTCTGACACATTAATATCAAATGGTATGCAGCAAATATGCTATAGTGCCTGTTATAATTGTGTTAGTAGATAATCTATTAACTATTGAAAATTTTTATTGCTCGGTTCAAAAACAACTGAGGATCAAAATCTCACAAATGCACATCGTGAATGTTATAATCAAAGTGCAGGATGGAAAGGATTTTCAAAAAAAAGCTCCCAGAGATACATATAATTAAGGAAAAAGAACAAACTGTGAGGGAGGGAAAAAAACAAATGCACACATAACTCACTAAAATGAATGCAGCAAGCTCATAACGTGATAAATCAACGACAAAAAAAAAAAAAAACGAAAAAATCGGCTTTTTTAAGATATATCTACTTTTTTGCCAATCATTTTCTATAGCAGTTGGCAAATTAGGAATAGAATGCAAAAACGTATTATGTCTTAAAACTGACATAATTCAGAAAGACAAAAAAGCACAACTTTTAGAAAATACCGAGAATATTAACACCGCCAGGTGGACAACAGGTGTACGGATCCCGTGCTAGTAATGTTACTCTAAAATGCTTCCGCACGCTGGGCGCGCCTAGGCCAAACCTTTCTCGGGCTTCACAGCATCAGCACCAGTTAACTCACCGCCTGTTCGATGTATGTACATGACCTGGAACCACTGGCGGATCCAAGGGAGGAAAGGAGGGGGTGGGGGAGGGAGGGAGAGGCCACTCGCTCCCTAAGGACTTAGGTAGCAGTTGTTTTACTGTACAAAAGTCTTCTCGGTACCCCCTGTCACTATCCCCAGGGGTCTTTTTAGTCTCAGTTTAGTGTCCATTGCTGAGGGCGGGGGGCTGCCTGCAGGAGAGACGGGAGGGGGGAGGGTATGGTCACGAAAGTAGAAGAGAAGGTGAAAAATCGCCCCCCCCCCCTCCCCTCTTCCCAGAAGATGCTTAGAGCACACGATACATATCGTATAAAGTACTAAAATAATGCAAAAAATAAAAAATCGGCCAAAATTTTCTGCAGCACTGGAGATCATATCTGGATTATCCTAGACGTGTTTTCCTGATAGCAGCATATTAACTACAGAATGTAAATCATCGGCTAGCAAATCTGGTTTTATATCATGGTTTATCCATGATTGCCTGCAAAAAAAAGAGATTCTCGATAATACATTTTTTAAAAATACGAACCAGACCAATCATGGAATTTTACGAATAACTTCGCTTTTGATTACTGAATTTTAACGATCCGAAAAATAGATTATTTTAATCTTACAAACTTTAAAAGACATCTGTTTATCAAAAGCAGCAAACAAAATCAAGAAAAACTCAAGTCAATCTATGAGTTTCCGAAAAAACTAGTGGTTTTCCTGCTGTTGAGATGTAGCTATACGCCGGGCTCTGCAGTTGAGAAACCAACGATTCATCGATTATCGTGAAGTCGAGAGGAACAAAAGAAGTAACACAGACAGTGAAGAAATTCTGCAATTTAAGATTTTGTTTCAAAACTAGTTTACCTCCATTTTCCGGTCCTGACCTGAACACCTCTGATTCCAACTTTCTGAGCACCACCAACATCCGATACTATATCATCGCCAACCATAACAACCTAAAATGCCAGTTTTTTTTCCTAAAACAATTGCATCGCTTCAGTCTTTTACTCGAATAAGACACATTACAGCATTGAAAAGTAAAGAAAAAATTTCAAAAAGAGCTTCTTTTTTTCCCTATTTCTTTAGCAATAAATTCCGATGAATGCCTTCCAGCACGAATCTGTGTGATTTTCATAAAGCTCTAGCGTACCTTGCGTTAGATCTGATAAACATTAAGCAAAATGTTCACTGATCACAGTGGTCATTTAAATCTCGAAAAACAAACGTCAGTACTGTCAGCAGGCTGACCAGCAGAAGATGCAATTCCAGCCAAAACGGCCATACTCATGTTAATTGTATTTTATTGTGATGATCATGCACACCGGACACAGTTATGTCGAACATTTCGATCCAGTAACATTTGCAGTGATGTACCTCATCTTTCGTTAAACCCATATCGTCGACAGCAGCTTTGAAAAACTGCTCATCTGGCTTGCCAATAACAACAATTCGTGCATCACATGCATACTTCAGTGCCTGCGCAAAACCACCAACATCCATGCAAGGCCCATCTAATCGCTGATAAAATTTCCTGGAAAAAAAAATGGCTTTTCAAAAAGAAAACTGTTTCAAAGTAATTGCAAGACTGTTACACTATTTTTACACTATCTCCTTTCACCATAAATTTTGCCCTCTCATCCTTTTCCCCTTTTAGGAACACTAAAACACCGTGAATGTAAGAAAAAATGGCCATAGGAGTAACGCCTATTTGCTACAAAAGGAAGCTGGGCCTGGATAGTAAGAGCCATAATAATTACTTCTGTTTAGCCACCAAACAAGTAAAATAGCAGTTATCAACCGATTTACTTAACTACACAAATTTCCGGCACAGTAGAACAATTCTCCTTAACAGTACTGACTGTTGTGAACGCAGTCCTTCCGCAAAAATCGCTTCGGACCGGGAAAGAATCGAACCATTCCTCTTCACTTCCGGACACAATGTGTTACCACTACACCACAGATCCCCGTGTTTCAGGTTCAGTCTGGCAGCACGTCTACTGTACGCCTCCTTTTCAAGGCAAGATAGCCCCTCTTTTATTCCCCTTTTTTCGTTGTGGTGGCTTCATATCGGTCTTTTCGCGGGTTTTCAGCGACTCTAACAGTACCCACAGAACACAGCACTGCAAAAAATGAAAACTGAATTCATTTGAAACAGACCAACCCAGATCCTAGAGTAATAATCAAAGGGTTGTCCATGCTCAGCAGAGCTCGAAAAGCAGCATTCATGGTCTGGTAATTAAAGCCTTCTTCAGCATCACCCATTAAAACGCAATTCGGATTGCTCGTGTCGATATCCTCAAACTGTTTCACAATTCCTAAAAATTTTGCATAGGGTAAAACTCCAAAAGCTCCTTATTGCGAACATTAATGTGCTACAGCGAAAGTTTTCTTTCATGAACATTAATATACTCCAGTGAATAAGGTCTGCATTAGCGAAAAAAGCTTAAAAAAAGGGACCTGCGTTG